GGGGGCGGGAAAATGGCCTTAACGCCACTTGTCTTTTGGTAGAAAGAAACAATATTTTTTGTTTTCTTTTATTTTATATCGACGTTTCGATGTATAAGTCTTCATTACCGAGATATAAAGAATGAGAATATTACAAAAATAGAAAATTTTACATAGAACATCAGCAGCGTGATTGGAGCAATGATATTCAAGTTATCTCGAGAAGATCATTCAATTCTTAATACTCCAATCATGGTGCTTAATTAAATTTGAATTAATTTCTTGTCGTCTAGTGTGTACAAGATTAAAGAGAAGAAAGAGAGATCTTTATAACGAATAGAAACGAATTATAAATAACTACAAGACAAATGAATGTCTCTTTTTGTTCTTATTTCGTCTTATGTAAAGTTTTCTATTTTTGTAATAATCTCATTCTATATCTCGATAATGAAGTTTTCTACTTCGAAACGTTGATATGAAATAAAATTAAAAAGAGAAATTTCTGTTTCTTCCTATTAATTGAAGTTTTAAGTTAAACAGCAAAATAATTGATAATATTCGATGTTTTTTTTTTGTCCTCAAATAATTAGCTAATCCTAGACGAAATATATTATGTTTACGATGAAATTTTATCATAAATGATATTTGATACAATCTTTCTACAGTCATTTTTTTTTACTTACTGTTTTTTTTTTAAATATTCTTAGAAGGTTACTAAGGTTACTTTTTTTTTTTAGTTACGTGATATCGGAGCTTGAGTTTGTGACAAATGAGAAAACAGGGTCATTTCATTTCATTTCTTGTCTCCATGTTTAATTAATCAGGATAATTCTAATTCATCTTATCTATTTCGTAGTTCTCTTTTTTTCTTTCTTTTACCAGCCATTTGATTCTCTAATATTCTATCTGTTCTTATCTTTATGTCAAACTAAGTATAATATTGATGAATTTAGTTCATTATATAGTCATGCTTTGCTTCATAGTGTTTATTAGCTACTAACATAAGAGAAGAAAAAGAAAAAAAAACTTAATGTTTATATTTATCTAATTTGATTGCATTCATTTTTTTTTTGTTATATGATTTTACTCATGTCAGGTAACGATTTATTACATATGGATACTTCTGTTATTCTAAACACAATAAAACAACGTAAAAAATCTGGAACTACTATATATGAATGGTATGCATGGTCTTATTTTAATATAATTTTCGGTTGTTTAATAATGGGTTTTATTGCTATGTTTTTTTCTTTTCGTACAACAAAATATAAAGAAGCTGATAATCATAGTAAAGCACGTCTATGGTCTCGTATTACTTTATTATGGAATATATTGGCTACATGT